AAAAAAAAAAAACCCAACAATTATAGAAAGATATATGAGATGTGAAATGTCAGTTGTCAGGAAGGACATGCCTACAGTTCTTTCACAAGTTCAAAATAAAGCTCGAGCCACTCATGACCAGAGAAACACAATTTAGAAGCATCCAGAAAGCATCTGTTTCTGAGGACCCTCGACCAAAGAAGCAGAGATTTTTGAAGGAACTGCTGATTTTAGGGATGGAAGAATGCAAAATGAACCTAACACATCTTAAAATGTCAGAAAAATTTTAAAAAAAACAACAGATGGGGTATTTTGCTACACAGGCATTGACCTGAAGAAGCTCCCATCAGCCAAAGACAGGTCAACTTACCCCAAAGAATAAGACGTGTGTGCAGGAGATAGAACATTGCTCACCCGATGGAAAAGCAAAAGAGCCCTCCCAGAGGGCAGACACGTCCTGGGGCTGCCTGGTGTGACAGCCAGGGAGCCCATAGCCTGTGGGATGGACAGTGGCCCGGACCAGTCACTTCATGCAAGGTCACACCCGTTGCCCTCTGCCTGGACTCTATCAGCCACTCAAGTCAGCACTGTAACTTTATTTCTCAGTGCCTTCCTGAAACTCAGAGATACAATTCGCACGAAATAAAACACCCATTTCAGGTGTACAGACTGACATGAGTCTTGTTGTGTAATCATGTCGTGTAATCATCACTCCAGTTAAAATAAAACCACTTCCAGCGCCTCCCTGGAGGCCACCAGAAGGGGTTAAGTATCAGCATTATGAAGCTGTCTGCAGCCCCTGCAGCTTGAGTTCGATCCCCTGCCAGGGAGCTGACCCACATGGCACAGCAGACCTCTCCTGTCTTGCCTGCTGCTCCCCTCAGCAGTGTTTCAGTGGATCTGCCTGTTCTGCTCCCCGCTCTGTCCCTCGTGAATCCTTTCACCCTCCATACTTCTGGCCTGTACCCAGTTCTTGTATACATAAATAAATAAATCTTTTTTAAAAATAAAGATTACTCCAGAGCCCGAGAAAGTCTCTTCCGGCCCGGACTCCAGAAACCACTGATCTATCTTCTGTCACAGCTTTGTCCTGTGGCCCCAATTTCATCACAATGGAATCCTACCTCATGGACCTGGTAGAGACTGGCTTCTTTCGTTCAACATCATATTTGCAAAAAAAGCATCCCTAGAATTGCACTAATCAGCCATTTATTCCTTTTAGTGGCTGAGAAATATTACATAGTATGGGCATCCCTCAGTTTATTCCCTTCACCTGAGGACAGCTATTAAAAGTAGAGTTGCCATAGACATTTCTGTACAGGGAAATACAAGTAAAATACCTGGGTCATGCGGTAGGACTTGGTCTCACCTTTGAGAAATAGCCACGCCACCGTCCAAAGAGGTGGTGACAATTTCCACCCTTATCAGCAGTGTATGAGGTTCGGTTAGCTCTGCCTCCTCACCAGCCTAGGAGAGAGGTGCCTCCTTTCATGAAGCCACATTAGAGGGGTACGGTGGCCCTGTCTAATGCTGTTGAGCTTCTTGCCATGTGCTAACTGGGCCTGCAGCCCTCTGCTGAATTGTCTGTTCAAATCATCGCCTCACTTTTTTAAAACTGGGTTCTTCTCCACTCAGTTTTTGCTTTTTTTT